CCCCCCCCCCCCTGAGTTAGCCTTCCAGTTTATTTATAGTTCAGTGATGTACACACGCGTAAATTTTACAAATCTGCAAACAAGTTGTACCAAGGTTGTTGTGAAGTCGATATCAGGATGTGTTCGCACTGCTTGTTCCCAGTTGTTGTGACAAGTCTGGAACAAGTTGTTATCATCTTGTTATAAGGTTGATGACGGTAACAGACTCGCTACAAGTTGTTCCAACAAGACTAATACAGGCTGTTCGTAACAAGTTGCTACGAGCTTGTTGTCATCAATTTCTTACATGCAGGCAATGTCTTCATATTTTCTCATATTTTTAGTTTGGCAGTTCGTCGATCGTCAATAGTTCCTCAAGAAGTGTTCATCAGCTGCTTTCGGATCATATCAATACATCTGAAAATTCTGATCAAAATTTGTGGCTTATTCCTCCCATAGGTAAGTTGGCTTTCACGAGACACCTTCACAATCAGAAACTGAGGTTCGATTGAACCTCAGTCGATTGTTAGAAAAGTGCTTTCAATTTGACTTTACCTGTAGTAACACTGGATCAACTAGAGATACCGTAATCCTTACTGGACCTCTAGGAAGAACAGTTTAGAACTGATACAACTATCCAGTATAAATACATGTAAAGTTAGTTTAGTTTAGGTTTCCTCCTGTATTAACACTGACTCAATAAGAGATGATCCTTACTGGACCTCTAGGTAGAACAGTTTAGAACTGATACCACTATCCAGCATAAATAAAGTTAGTTTAGTTTAGGTTTCCTCTTGTAGTAACACTGGAGCAATACGAGACGATCCTTACTGGATCTCTAGGAAGAACAGTTTAGAACTGATAGAGCTATCCAGTATAAATAAAATTAGTTTAGTTTAGGTTTCCCCCTGTAGTAACACTGAATCAATAAGAGATGACCTTAAACCTCTTGGAAGAGCAGTTTAGAACTGATAGAGCTATCCAGTATAAATAAAATTAGTTTAGTTTAGGTTTCCCCCTGTAGTAACACTGAATCAATAAGAGATGACCTTAAACCTCTTGGAAGAGCAGTTTAGAACTGATAGAGTTATCCAGTATAAATAAAGTTAGTTTAGTTTAGGTTTCCTCTTGTAGTAACACTGGAGCAATACGAGACGATCCTTACTGGATCTCTAGGAAGAACAGTTTAGAACTGATAGAGCTATCCAGTATAAATAAAATTAGTTTAGTTTAGGTTTCCCCCTGTAGTAACACTGAATCAATAAGAGATGATCCTTAAACCTCTTGGAAGAACAGTTTAGAACTGATAGAGTTACCCAGTATCAATAAATAGGTTTCGTCTTGTAGTAACGTTCCTTTACATTTTGTAAGTAGTTTTGTAATACTAACAATCTTACTCTTTTTGTTCAAGACTTTCAAAAGAAAGAAGAACCGTCAGTACCTTTGGATTTACAAGCCTGGATGCAAAATATATCAGGTAGAGCTAGTGTGCTCCTTTTTGAACGTTAGACTGAGTGCCTTACACTCGCATCACGTTAATATTTTTACACGAATTTGTCAGAGCGCAGCTACGAGGGTTACTTTTTAGGGAAAATCCTAACCAACCCTGTCAACATTTCCTGTGGCAGGAAGCCGGAGTACACGGACGAAACCCACGACTTTCGGCAGAGCGTTGACCGACTCTTTTCACATGGCTATCATATAAGTCGTCCCCAACTGGATTTGAACCCTAGATGTTAGAGGTGAAAAGCGAGCGCTCTGACAATAGACAATTCCCATTATAGACTAATTTTAAAATTAGGTAAGGAAACTCAAATAAATCACCACAGCTAGAAAGAGCATACTAAAATTAGTAAAATTACAAAGTGTGGTTGCAAAATGTTGTAAAATGAGGAAAGTATAGCCTTGCAAAGTTCGCAAATTTTGCAAGGCTATATTTTCCACATTTTACAACATTTCGCCACCAAATTTTGTAATTTTACTAATTTTAGTATGCTCTTTCTAGCTGTGGTGATTTATTTGCATCTCCTTGCCTAGTTTTAAAATTAGTCTATAATGGGAATTGTCTATTGAGCCATCGAAACCCAAAGTATTTCGTTATAGATAGCGTTTTCTATCGTATTTCTTTTTTTTCCAGATGAGTCAAGTGTATGTATCAGTTACAAGGAGAGCCACAAAGAGGAAGCGGAGGTCCTGGGTACTAATCTGGAGAAATCCGGTTTCAATATTCATCTGCAGTCTTCAGACCTTGCGTCCGCAGACACGGGATGTGGCGTCGTTCAGCGGTGTTCTGCCGTATTAATGCTTCTGACAAAGTCGTAAGTCAATTATTGTCAGTGTATGTTTAATAGATAACCTACTGAGAGTTTTATTAGCCAGAGTACCTCAAACGCGGGGGTCCAGTGTGAGTAGTATTCTACAATAAGCTGTCGTGGTTTGTGTCTGAACTACCTGAAAAAGATATCTCAAACGTGGTGGTCCAGTGTAGGTAGTATTCTACAATAAGCTGTCGTGGTTTGTGTCTGAACTACCTGAAAAAGATATCTCAAATGTGGTGGTCCAATGTAGGTAGTATTCTACAATAAGCTACCGTGGCAAATGTCTGAACTACCTGAAAAAGATATCTCAAACGTGGTGGTCCAGTGTAGGTAGTATTCTGCAATAAACTGTCGTGGTTTGTGTCTGAACTACCTGAAAAAGATATCTTAAACGTGGTGGTCCAGTGTAGGTAGTATTCTACAATAAGCTGTCGTGGTTTGTGTCTGAAGTACCTGAAAAAGATATCCCAAACGTGGTAGTCCAGTGTAGGTAGTATTCTTGAATAAGCTGTCGTGTTTGTGTTTGAACACCTGAAGTTAAAAAGATTTCGCCATTTTGAACAAAATCCCTTCGCTAGTGCTAACGTTGTTAAATTTATTTATGTGTGTTTTTGCGCAAAATTGCGCAAGCGTTCAAAACAATGACATTTAATGACATTTCATTTAAATTTACTGATTGTACTGTTGATTTAATTTCCAAATGAGCTTTTCCTTTTAATTATTTATCCTCGGTTAACCGTGCATAATCAATGTTGATTAAAATTGATCGAATGCCAAATAGCTTAAATTTGCCGTCAGTGTTTCGCTTTAAAGTACTACTGTTGTTGCTGTTCATGTTATTCTGATCTGCTTCAGTTTTATTTGACGCATTCGTGTTTTCTTAAGGTAACTATTTATTTACGTAAGCATGTAGATATGTTTAATTTGGTCGGCGTTATTAAAATAAGCGAATCTTTTAAGAATTAATAAGTTTTTGCAATGTATATGAACGGTTGCTATGCCTATATTGCGTTGAGGCAACGTATGTTTTATATGTTTCTTAAAGTTATTTTGCGATAGATTATCGCCGGTCAAAATTACCTAAATATATAGATTTATACCTAATGAAAGAACACTAATTTTGTCGAGAAGATCTTGTAGTTCAAGAAGATTGATCATTCCTGCTTGAACAACCTTTCGTTTACAATTATATTAATAATCTATCACTAGAAAAATAATGTAGTTTTACTGCATTTAAATCACAAACCACGACAGCTTATTGTAGAATTCTACCTACACTGGACCACGACGTTTGAGATATCTTTTTCAGGTAGTTCAGACACAAACCACGACAGCTTATTGTAGAATACTACCTACACTGAACCACCACGTTTGAGATATCTTTTTCAGGTAGTTCAGACACAAACCACGACAGTTTATTGTAGAATACTACCTACACTGGACCACCACGTTTGAGATTTTTTTTTCATCAGGCACAAATACTCTCTCTTTTCAGATATACAGAAGACCCGAGTTTTGAAGAGAATATTAAAGTTTTTGAAAGACTCAATAAACCTCTCATTGGTGTGTATTTTGAACAGGACATAAATTGCCCCTTAGCCAAAACCACAGACCTGAGCGCTGGTTCTGGGACTGGCAGTGCACATATTTTTAACCCGGAACAACTACAAACGCTTATAAGCGAGTGCCGTAGCCTCATTTTTGGCACCGGGGATATAGAACCCCTATCAGAGGGTACCGGAGAGCCGGTATCCGAGACTATCGGAGATAGACTATCGGAGCCTGCGAGCAACAATCCTCATCGGCCAGCGGCGTCTTACGCACCCGCGATGGAGACTGGTCAGCGGGAGGCTAATGAACCTAAGAAAAAACATGTGAAATTTCAGAGTGATCACGTGACCACGGAAGACGATCAGATTAAACCGTTAGCAGCTTGTACTGTTGCGGCTGCAATGGTCGGAGCAGCGGCTGAACATTTGAATCTGAGCAGGAAGGCAAGTTCTGCGGGCATGCGGGCTGCGAATGCGACCGCAAAGGTGGCGCGGGCGGTTGCCCATGGCGATGCCGACGCGGCAACGAGTGCTTTGAATGACGTAGTCAAAATCGTGGATGACCTGTCGAATACACTGAAACACAAGGAAAATGGATACGAGCCATCTCCGAAGAGCAAAACATGTGTTATTTTGTAAAATATCCCTCGATTTGGGAGTGAATATGGACATATATGGATGTATATTACGGTCATGTGCTAACCTGAATACAGGAAACTGGATTGATTTGTACATACATAATTGTATATTGGAAATTTCTCAGAATGAAACGTTGCTGTGCAATAATTACATACACACAGCTGTATAAATAAGCAAATGCTGACGTGTGTATAGGAAACTGGATAGATTTATATATGGTAATTCGCGCGATTTCATTTCGCTCAAGTTAAATGTGATATTTTCACGAAAAGTGCTTGCTACCTCACGAAGGTAAAGATCCACCATTTTGGGGGGCACTGTCTTTCCCAGTGAACTCAATCTATTTTACAGTTACCTGGAACGATATCGGTAAATAGATTGAGTTCACTAGACGAGATTGTGAAAAATGACTTTTCAAAGTTGTAACTGTAAATTTAACGTAGGTGGTTGTCCTTCAGTAGCATTGTGTTTGATGAAAGGTTGTTCAATTGAGGCCAATGAGCTACTGTTTGAAACGGCTAGTATATAAAACGTATTTGAAATTACAACATTTAATTAGAATCTTAAAAATGTTTAAGATTCTTATTAAATGTTGTAATTTCAAATACGTTTTATATACTAGCCGTTTCAAACAGTAGCTCATTGGCCTCAATTGAACAACCTTGTGCGTATATAAATGATATATGCACAAGTACAGTGATACGAAGTCGCATTTTGCGACCCCCAAAATGGCGGATAAACCAAGCGTGAGAAATGCTAATTTTAATACCGCACGAATTTAAATACAAGTAGTAAGGTACATTACTGTATATTTCAGAAGAGTATAGTACCGGCTGACTTTAAGCAGGAGCAAACGTGATTAATTTATGTAGAAAGTTATTTTGGCAAGACTGAATGGGTGGAATTGGAAATGTTTGAGGAAACGATGTTTAAAAACAATTCAAGTAATGAAATGCACAGGAAAAGGATTTTGTATAATTGGATATGGTTTATGGTGTCTTGTAACAATGGGTTAAAAGTTGGTTGAAAATAAACTTCTTCAAACGTATATTGTAGAATTTCTCAGAGAGCAATGTTTAAGAGGAGAATCTTGCATTTTACGTAACTGACGAATATACTTTTTTCCTTGGTTAATATGATTATATTCGAATTTTAAAATTTTTGATAAGTTTCTCAAACGGCAAACAAACTTAACAAGTATGTTTAGTGCTTTATCTGCAAAGTTATGCTAAAATGAAGAGATTTTAGAGAAAATGACGTCTGAAGTTCAGTAAGTTTTGCTTATATCGCTGTACGAATATGTCGTCAATTTTACAGCAGCAATGATAATTGTATTTAAATTGACAATATTTAACTATCATTTTGTGTTTCTCAACCGCCAGATACATTTATAAAAGGTTGCTAACTGTGTAAACAGCAAAATAAAGCTAAAACAAAGTAATTTTTGAGAGCAACGCCAAAACGATTTGGGTTTTGAGCACTAGCTTTGCATCGCCAGTATAGGACATTGAAAAAAATTGCATCTTAACAATTTGAGGTCGGAGCATGCGCAAAACAAGTACACCTTGAATAAATATCAAGGTTAATGATTCCTAACGAATGTTCCTGTCGCAGCTGCCTCGTACCCAGGCGTCTCTTTGTAAAAAAACAGTGATGCCCATATGGCGTGTTTACATGAAGTATTGTAGTGGGGAGAGATGGCGAAGGGGCTGATGGGAAGAGTGCGCACCCTTCCCAACAGCCCCTTCGTGCGTCGGATGCCTACCTGAATACTTCATGTAAGCGCCTGGGTACGAGGCAGCTGTCGCAGACTAACAAAATTCCTGTGGTATTAGCGTTGTTTGCGACTGTTCGTGGTGGGAAGCAAACGACGGCAGTTCGGAATTTATCGTTCTGACGGATGGGATTGAGTCGCGCGAAGGTGGGAATTCTTATTCTAATTGGATCACGTGACATCCTTCTGCATTCTTTTTGTGTTTATATTTTCGTCTCCGCTGCGTTTTGAAATAACGTTGAAAAAACTTGATTTTTTGTGTGATTTCTGATCATTCTTGCTCTCCGAAGACAGCTGATGATCCGTTTCACTTAGGCTATTCGTCGATCGTTGAAAGGTAGGCATTTTAAAGTAAAATTTTGATTTAAATTGTACACAATTTGATGTTGTAAAACACTTCAATATAAAAGTCCTTACATTCTTTAGAATTTATCGTATATTTCAAGCTTCAATCGGCACTCAATCGAGGTTTAAATTGTTTTGGGGGATTTTCCAAAACTTTCCTGCTGTTGATTGAAACAGTATTATTTGCTTTGTCAAGTTTTTTACCACATTAAAAATATAGTATCCTAAAGTTTTCTTCAATCAAAATTTTTGGGCTTATATTTGTTTAATAGTTTGTAATTATAAACGATAAAAGGAAAATTGTTTAGCCATAACTTACAACTAGAGAGTTTTAGAACATAAAACCATACTTGTTGGGTTGAAGAATTTGAAGATCAGAAAATATGAGTTTTATAGTAATTACATAACATATTCAAGCAGTCACTTTGAAAGATTTTTTGTATCCAATATTAAATCTTTGTGTGTCAATCTTGGCAAGCAGAAATGTGTAGTTTTGTCCTTTTTGCTTTGTAAAAGTTGTTATATAAACTATAGCCGTATATAAACTACCTGTCCAATATACACAAGATGAGATATCTAGATGAACATTCAAGCGATTCAACCAGCTAGAATTGAGCTATTTTGTTTTAAATAAACCTTACGTTTTATTATATGCAGTGGCTTTTTGCCAGGCAACTCATCTCGACATTCATATGCCATTTGTCCGACAGAAGTATTTTCCTCGTTCTTGAAACATTTTGAGAAGATACATAATCCTCATTGCAAAAAAGTTTTATATTACTAAATAAGAAATGTCAGCTGTTAAAAGACTGGCAGTTTACTAAGTTGTTTATTATTCTACTTTATTTTCTACTCTAGTTTGTTTATTATTCTACTCTGTTTAACGCCAGACAATTTTACTCGTCAAGGGGAGAGCTCTGGCACTCAATGAGTTAACTAATTGTTGCCTCAAATGTTCCGAACTTTGTTTCAAACTCAACTTTTATGAAATGTCTAAAATTTCATTTTCAGGTTGATGAAGCTAGAAAGAATGGATAAGCTATACATTGCTTGTTTTGTAATCCTGTTACCATCAGGTACTGTACAGTAAGGTTGTAATCACATCGAAAAGTCGACAAATAGATTTCGTTCACTGAAATCTTCAGCGTAAATGTTTGGATAATGTGAGATAACAGTGTGTGTAAAGCGTCATTTGTGTCGTCCCTTGTCCAGTCTTTCTGTCAAACTGTGTTGTCATTAGTTGCTGTTAACTCAGTGGAAATATCACTATCGCTGTTAACCATTGAACTAAAAATAACTGGAACGCCACATTGAAGTGGAAGTTTGAAGCTAAATTATACAAGGTCGTACACAGGCTTTAAAAGGCCCGTTTTGAAATAAAAGGCCCGTTTCCCTTTTGATTCACATCTTGCCATGAAAACGTTCAAAACGGCATGCTTCGATCGCCCCCTGCATTGTTTCGCGCGTAAATCGCGCAGTAGAAACACGCGTGGAAGTGCGTGTCTGGGAGTCAAAACTGGCTTCATGGGAGTTAAATTTTGGCTTCAAAATTTGCACGCGCAGTTTACTGAACGTAGCGTTCCAGTTATTTTTAGTTCAATGCTGTTAACCCAGTGGATTAGAATTGCTCAGGACCACATTAAATCAAACGTCTCAGTGATTAGCGATTTTGAAGCGATATGTCCACTGTGTTAACCTATATTTTAGTATTGCATTAGCAGGTTACCTGTAAAGGAGCAACTAGCTCTGTGGGTTAAACCGGTCATGTGGCAAAGATTGTAAAATAGATAAACTTTCCTAGTAGGTTTATCGATAATTAATAATGCAATGCTTTTTCATATTTTGTCCTCATTTTGCTTTTCATAATCATGGTTCAAAGCTAACCACCTCTCCCCATCGTGGAACAAGTCTGTGATCAATGGACAAAATCTATTTGTTGACGGCTCCTAAATGCTTATGCTGGCCTGAGTGTCGGGTCCTGATTTTCCTTCTTTAATTTAACTAAAGGAAGAAGTGTTAAATTGAAGGTGCTTTATTGTTTTCTTTTAGTGGTTTTGGCTGCAGAAGAGTTGAAGCCTCAACTGATAACGACTGAGAAAAATGACTATTTTGGTTATCTGAAAGAGTTTAATGGTTTTAAATGCCAAGCAAGGGGAACAAACCTAAAATATAGCTGGAGGCACAATGATTTTGTTATTAATGATGGTTATATAATCAAGTACCCTGAACACAATGCATCGACTCTTCAACCGATTGTGAGAAATATTGATCTTTCCTATCAAGGAGACTACCAATGCTTTGTCACAAATAGTATTGGAACAATCTTTGGACGGAAGGCATCAGTCAAATTTACAGGTAAACAGGGTTCAAATTAACAGTGTGCAATGTACATCGTTAATTGGACCAATTATAGTGAAAATTGCACTTCACTTTTCCAAATGATGTGCAAAAAAAAATCAGACTTGGGACTAATTACAGTACCGCTCGTGTGTATCTTAACATACGATACGCATATGATACGTGTATGCTATGCGTATCATACAAATATGCGTATCATAGAATACGTGTATCATACGAATACGCGTATCATACAAATACGCATACCATACGAATACACGTGTCATACGAACACACGTATCATACGAATACACATTAAAAACAAATATTGGTGTGCTATAAAAGACGTGTATTATAGCGCCCTGCAAATACGCATAACATATACGTGCTATTATAATTCGCCTATTAATTCCGAAACAGGTATACTGTATACATACCAGTATATCGGAAGTTCTAAACTGAGCTACAATACAATATTCAATAAGCATCAACCTACTGTATAGTTGGATTTTAGGTGCTGATAATGGTAATAATTGTTGATTAAATAACTTGGGCCACCGCCTGTTTTGTGAACATTACTTTCAGACTGTTTGTAGATACGGAGACAACGCTGTTACAATTTTGTGAGGACCTATATTCTATAGACTATCTGATTAAAACATTGTGCATGGTGTCTTAAGGTCCAGACACACCGGATGCGATTGGACAATTTAGTTTTTGAAAGTTAATAAAACAGCCAATGAAAGCAAATTTTAAAAGATATGTAGACCAAATAACTCAAAATGTTATAGCGCTTCTAAATATTTGGAAAATTTAAACTTAAGGATCAAAGTTATCGTTCAATGAAAATAGAAAAATCGTGCCGCGTTGTCGAATTGCGTCCGGTGTGTATGGACCTTTAAGCGGCAGCATAATTGGCTCTATATTGTGTCGAAGAGGGCACTTACTACCTGAATGGAGTTTTTAGTTTTCTATAACGTATAACGTGTATCATTCTCAATTATCATACGCGTACATGCAAGTATCAAATGTAGTTTCGAACGTAGTCGATACGCATATTCATATGATACGCTACGCGTATGATTGCATACGCGTATTCACATGATACACATATTCATTGATACGCTACACGTATCATACGCGTATTCATATGATACGCTACGCATATGATACTTGTATCATACGCAAAAAAGTGTTACGATATACGCGAGCGGTACTGTAAAATGAACTGCCATCCATTTTTATAGATTTAAAAAAGCCAATCTGTTGTCTTATGATTTATAAACAAGCGCTTTTGCAAGCACGCTAGCAGCATGGAAGTTTGCACACTGGAAAGTGTAAAACTTTAGCCATCATGACAGACAAGCACTTGACTGATTTAATTAATGTTACTGTGTGTGTTGGGTTTTTATATCAAAGATTGCAAACAAATTGTTTAAGAAATTAAATCATTGCAGCTTGATTGAGTATGTTTGAATAAGTACTGTAGCTAAAGACAATCATAAACCCATTTTACAAAAATTTCGAGCCACATTTTTAAAAAAATGTTGTGCATCATTTTTTCTCAACTAATTGACCATTTGCGTAATAGACTAACTTTTGATCTCAACAAAAATTTCATCACAGCTTGAAAGAGCATCACAAAATTAGTAATATTCCAAAGTTTCGTTGCGAAATGTTGTAAAATGCGGATAATATAGCCTTGCGAAGTTTGCAATTTTCAGTCATTTTAGATTACAAACGGGAAATTGACAGCTCCAAACCCTTCGAGGCTGTCAATTTCCCGTTTGTAATCTAAAATGACTGAAAATTTCAAACTTCGCAAGGCAATATTATCCACATTTTACAACATTTCGCAACGAAACTTTGGAATATTACTATTTTTGTGATGCTCTTTCAAGCTGTGATGAAATTTTTGTCTAGACTTGTTTGGATCAAAATTTAGTCTATTACGCAAATGGTCAATTGGAACCTGAAGTTATTCATTTCATTAATACCCATTAAACGATAATATTTGCCAGTCAAGCCACATGTTCTGGTCAGGGACTGGTGGCCAGACTATTGTTCAAGCCCTGGCTGTTTGCTTTGTTTTTGGAAGTTGTTATTGCCCAAAATAGTATCCGCAACCCAGACTTTTGGGCTTTTAGCCAGAAGGGCGTCCTGGGGCGGCCTTAGAACGAAAAATGAATGCCTTTGGACGCCCAAATTCTGGGGGGAAATGGAAATTATTTCCAATTTAATTTCCCTAAGTATATTAATATATCTGAAACGAAATAGCTTCATTTCTCATTATTATTATACATTTGATATTTTGATCAATTTGATGGTGTACCTGGCTGAATGAAAATGTCATAAGTAAAGAAGCATAGCGACACAAACTCACAAAGTCAAGTGTGTTTGAAAAATTTTGAATGAGTTTGGAACAGATACTGGCATGAAGTAATGTCAACTTCAAAGCTTTTCCAGAGGAACGTTTTCTCGAACCCCCCCCCCCCTTACTGTAGATGTATCGTTATACCAAAATTGGACGCCCTCTTTTAGGATCCTGGCTAAAAGCCTGCTGCAGCCTTTTACATGGCGTTGCACCCTAGTAGACAGAGTAAGATAACAAACTTAGACACATTAAATGCCAGGTGATTCTACTATTGTCCATTTGTCTTGTTAACATTTTTGTGGCAAAGCGAATTCACTAATGGCTGTCCAAAAGCTGTCAATTTTTAATTTGCTGTCTTGAATCAAAATTGGCCGTCCAAAAGGTGGCTGGCTGGCTAAAACCCTGGTCTAACTCCATATCATTTACCCTACCAAATCCAGCCCAATGATGTAAATTATCTTGTTAATTAAAACATTGACGTTTGTGTATTTTCAGTTGTTGGAAACTTTCATATTGGCCAAAACGAGATACGGACAGTTGACGCAGAACTTGGGAAACCATTTGTGTTGCATTGCCCTACACACTTTCTAAGCCAGAAAGTTCAATATTTCTGGAAATACGAAAGTCCCGATAGTCGTAAGCACTTGCCGCCGGATGCAAACTACTTTGTTACAAATAATGGCACATTGTATTTTTCAATTCTTAATCAGAAGAACGTTGATTTTATCAACAACAATGGTGGCATATTCTGTGAACAAGAGGCAGAACCGGAAGGGGCAGCCAGTACAGCTAGGCGAAGCCACAGAATTAAACTCAGGCCGTCCGGATCTGAAGGTATCATGACAATTATGTTTGTATACAATATGATGTGGTGAAATAGATTTAAGCAAGGTTAATAGCAGTAGCGTGAGGCAGTTTCTACAAAAAACTGAAAACCGACCAGAAAAAAATGAAAAAACATAGTGAACCGGTTTTTTAAAAAATATGTTCGAAAATCGAAACTACGGTAAAAAAAGACACAACATGCCACTCAGTAGTCAGTACTCACACAAGATATTAAACATCAGGTATTTTGTAGACGTTATCGAATTTCAAACAAAATCTCTTTAGTTTTTCGTATGTAAATACCAAAACTTGATGTATTTCTAACAAACTCGTAAATTATGGTTCGATTTTAGTAAAATACCGATTTTTCTTCAGTTTTTTTTTTCTCGCTTTCCCCCGGTTTTTCGGTTTTCTGGTTTTTCTCCAAAAGTAACATCGAGTATTTCGGTTTTCAAAAAACATCGGCTTTTTTTTGGTTTACTGAAAAACCCGCCTCACTCTAAATGGCAGTTCAGGAGAAACTTTAAAACTTGATGAATATTAACTAAGCGAATACAATTTTTAATTTCTTGTGTATACCGTACCTGGTTGTTCGACGTTTTCTCTTTAAAGTTTAAAATATTTGAGCATGTATCCTTTGGACCATTGAAGGTAACAATTACGTCTTGAAAATCTTTGGTTAACTAAGGGCCTGTTCATATGGGCAAAAGTTATCCCGCTTAATTAACGAGAAAACTTTTCGACTACAGTGTAGCCAAATACTTTTGTTCTGTTCATATGGAGAAACTTTATCCCGCTTACCGGGTAAAGTTTTCGGCTGTGATGTGGCACTGAACATCAATTGAATTGAAAAGTTGCTGACATGACAGAAAGTTATCCCGCTAAGCGGGAAAGTTGTGTTCATATGGGAAAAACATCCCAGTCACCGAGATCTCGCCTGTCAACAAGCAAGATCTCGGTGGTACACAGGAAAACTTTTTGTCTCATATGAACGCAGCGTAACTTTTCATATTATTTTCATACCAAGGCGAGATCTCGCTTGTAAACTTGTCGAAAAGTTTTCTCGCTAACCGGGATAACTTTTGCCCATATGAACAGGCGCTCAATCAATAAATCTTCTGTATGAAATTGCAAACAACAGCTCGCGAACGGGGGTTGACAAAACGTGGACCCCCCCCTTTCTGGACCCCTAATCTGGACCCCAATCTGGACCCTATTCTTGACCTTTTAAAAACCTACAGACCAGATTGTAGGACACAACTATTTGGATTTCAATATAACGATGATCGATTTGATTCATTTAGCTTTTTTCGACTTTCTGAATCCTCATCCTGATCATTTCAGTCATAATCTTGTACATTAGGGCATTGCTGGGCAACATAGTTATCCAATTAGAAATTTCTTACTGCAATAGTTTTCTTGTTTCATGTTCTTTTGAATAGGGATAAGCACTTTCAGTAAACTGACCTTGTAAAATGCTGTGTAATGACATTGTCAATGTAGTGTTGGGTTGCTATACATCGGCAAATTTACCCCGCTGCATTTACAGCAAAAATGTCAACAAACATTGGCTTGTGGCCAAATTATGGGTCACTGTCAAAGCCATCTCAACAAATGCGGGTTGGGGACGGACTGCTTACAGCTGCCTATGTAATGTTTTCTTAATTTGCATGTTTTCTTTTGGTTTTTAAAAGGTCCAGAAAGGGGTCCAGAATGGGGTCCAGAAAGGGGTCCAGAAAGGGATCCAGAATGGGGTCCAGAAGGGGGGGTCCACGTTTTGTCAACCCCCCTCGCGAACGCCATATTGTTTCAAAACGTGGTGTCCACGTGTACATGTGAGCGTGAGATTTAAGGGTTAGAGACTGCTGTGAGTGTTTTGTTTACAAATATACGCATGCGCTGATCATACAATCAACTTCGGAATGGCTAATTCGTCCCCAGTCCACTCATGAACTTCGGAATGGCTAATTCGAACCCTGGCACCGATATCCATATCGGGGATTGGGTTATCGGCACTAAAATAGAAATATTGCTTCGGTAATTTTGTTGTTGGTTATAGTTGCAGTTCAATAGTTATTTTTACAGTATTACAAATAAACAGTCACTAGCGTATAGTAATAATTACTACTAGTTTGTTGCAAACATTTACATTACTAATGCATAATTTTGTTTTGTATAGCAAATAAAGTGTACCAAAAGCCACAAATCAAAACCATCCTTTCTGATCATACTATAGAGTCTAAAAGCGACAACAGCGACAAGTTGGTGCTAAAATGTGGTGCCATTGGATAGTAAGTGTTTTGCTGAAACTTCCCAGGGGTGAAGTTTATGTAGCAACTTGTTGCAGACTTGTCGTCATGACAACTGGGAACAAGCGGTGCAAATACATCCTGATATTGGCTTGACAACAACCTTGTTACAGCCTGTTTGCAAATCTGTAACAATTTGCGCGATTTTAAAGGGGCAGTGTCACGGTTCTACTGCGCATCCAAAATATGCGCGAACTTGAAAAACTGTCTGCCAACAATTAATCAAGTTAGGAGTGAAATACGATATACTATTTATAATCCCTTCGTTATGCAGGACATCCTTGCTTTGTTTTAAAAATTGAAGGCTGCTGCATCTTTTCCAATCATGTAGCATTAATTCTTTGCGCCGTTTATTTTAGCCAATCAGCGCCGTGACACTGCCCCTTTAAATCTGCAAGCAGTCACCCGCTCGTTAGCAAACCCTGATGGTTTTGACTTTGTTTTCAACTGTTAACTTTTTGTAAATTGCTATTGAAAAGCCCTTTCAAGTATATACTATATGCGATTTGGACCATTTGCATTATAGACTAAATTTTGATCAAAACAAGTCTAGACAAAACTTGCTTCATCACAGCTTGAAAGAGCATCACAAAATTAGTAATATTCCAAAGTTTCGTTGCGAAATGTTGTAAAATGCGGATAATATAGCCCTGCGAAGTTTGCCGTTTTTCAGTCATTTTGCATTACGCTGGGGAAATTGACAGCCCAATACCCTTTGGGGCTGTCAATTTCCCGTTTGTCACAATTTTTGAGTCCCGTTTGTCAAAATATCATAGTCACAATTTTTGAAAGCTTATTATTCGAAGGGTATTCATGTAAACGTCTTCAAACTCTGTATACTTAGTGATTTTGAGGTGGTCTTTTTAGTGATTTGGTTCATTTCTTAATTTGGGCACTTTTTAACACTCGTTCCCCGTCCTCTCATCAACTTCGGAATGGCTAATAGAATGATTTCAATCTCGAAACCAGAGCCTGCGATCCTCTGTGCAGGCTTGCTGAGGCTCTGTGAAACACCAGCGAAAGTCAGGCTCTGATTGGCTGTTTTTCAAGTCCTAATTATTATTCAAACTGTGGGTCTATTTAGTGATTCAAACATCGTTTAATTAATATAAAGTTTATTTCTCTTTGTGTATTATGTTTAAACATATCAATGAAACACACAGCGTAACTTTAATACACTTATTAAGCTTCCCTAGCTTCTCATATGAAATCAATAGACTATTCAGATATTGATATGCCAATAACAAAATGTAGAATAACAACAGTGCAGCATTACCATATAAGGTCATGATAAGCCGTTGCCTATAATATTTAAAATAACACAACAATCCATGATTTACCGTAATTAAACAAGTTAAAATAAACCACTACCAGTATCTTACAACAATTCAAAACCATGGCAAGTGTTCTTTGAAGAATTAAAGTCGTAATAAGCTTAAAACAACGGCATAATTCATGTTTGACGGCAGTAATGTCTATTTATAAATGTCGAGCGGAGTACTGGCACAGAATAAGGCACACAGAATGCTGACTTCTTGGTTTTTCGTATGATTTTGGCGTAACTTGTAATTCGTCATCAAATGCTGACGCCATGGTCCTAGCCAGTGCGCGTTTGAGAGGCATTCATCCCCCTGATATTATTCAAAATGGCGGACATCCAGGGGGGGATGCCTCTCTAACGCGCACTGGCTAGGACCATGGCGTCAGCATTTTGATGATGAATCATGGCGTAGCAGCGGTTACTCGAGTCGACCTTCTGCGTGCCTTATTCTGTGGTGCTGGATCTAAATGTTCTGATTTTCGTGCAAAAGTCACCGGTGTTTCCCAGAGCCTAAGCAAGCCTCTGAAGCAAGACTCTGGACACAGAGGATTGCAGGCTTGGGTTTCGAGATTGGATTGATTTACGTTATTACTGAAATACATCAGTGAAACTTTTAATTATTTCCTTTAGTCCCGTCCCAGATTTAAAGTGGTACAGAGTCGATTCCGTCACTAACGCTGACAAAGAGATTAAGGAATCATCACATTACAAACTTTCACGCTTCAATCAAGTCCTGGAAATCACTAACGTCGCGCCTGATAAAGCTGGAAAGTATAAATGCGTGGCTACGAACGTGCGGAATAAGCAAGTGGCGAAGGATGAAGCAAGTGGCGCAGTCAAAGTTGCAGGTAAATAATAGAACTCCATGCGGTAGTTCAGACACAAACCACGACAGCTTATTCTAGAATGAGTACCTACATTGGCCCACCACGTTTGAGATATCTTTTGCAGGTAGTTCAGACACAAACCACAACAGCTTATAGAATGGTACCTACATTGGACCACTGCGTTTGAGATATATTTTTCAGGTAGTTCAGACACAAACCACAACAGCTTATTGTAGAATACTACCTACACTGGACCACCACGTTTGAGATATCTTTTTCAGGTAGTTCAGACACAAACCACAACAGCTTATTGTAGAATACTACCTACACTGGACCACCACGTTTGAGATATCTTTTTCAGGTAGTTCAGACACAAACCACGACAGCTTATTGTAGAGTACTACCTACACTGGACCTCTACATTTGAGATATCTTTTTCAGGTAGTTCAGACACAAACCACGACAGCTTATTGTAGAATACTACCTACACTGGACCTCTACATTTGAGATATCTTTTCAGGTGGAATTCAGACACAAACCAC